GGGGCAGCGGCACGCAGCGTGCAGCCCTGAGCGGCTGTCTGCGCGCGGGGTCCGGCCGCAGGGCCGCTCGCCTATCTGCTGGCGGCCAGGAGAGGGCGTGTGTGTGCACGGGGGCACCCCCCCCAGGACTGCGAGCTCACCTTCTTCCTGATGGCCAGGCGGGCCAGCAGGCCACTCTTTTCCCAGTGCGCGTGGACCTGGCTCTGGTAGTCGTAGGAGGGGAAGAAGCACACCACCCCTCCGGGGACCACGCTGCACAGGTTGCACAGGGCACGGCCCGTCTCCTCCATCTGCAAAGGGAGACAAGGAGCCCCGGGGTCCTGTGCCCCCCAAGCCTCTGCCCGCCCCCAGCGGTCCCGTGAGCCCCCCCCCAGTGCCCGGGACCCCGGCACCGACAGCCTGGCAGCTCAGCCCAGCGCTTGCCCTCCTCACTGAACTAGATTCTTCTGCCAAATCCCCGGTGCCGGGGCGTCGGGGCCCCGCCCTGCAGGTGGGGGCGGGGGGAGTGGGGGCAGTGGGAGTGGGGGCGGGGAGGGAGCACGCCGCACGCACCATCTGAGGCAGGGCTCGCTTCTGGAAGGTGAAGTCCAGCGGCTGGCCCGAGGGCCCGTGGCAGATGACCAGGGGCAGGATGTGGTCTGGCGGGATCACGTGACCTGAAGAGACCCAGAAGGCAGGTCCAGCGCAGGCCTGTGCGCCCCTCAGCCACCCATGGGGACGGTGGCCGGGCGCGAGGCGGGTGCTCTACCGCCTGGGCCAGGTCCCGGCTGCGGAAGAGCGGCCGTGCTCACCCACGCCTCCCGGGCCACGCGGGTGGTGCAGCCCGTGGACGAGCCAGGCCAGGCCAAGGCTCCGCCCTGCTCCCAGCCCAGCACCCCGGCCCAGCCTCCGCCCTCCGATCCTCACCGCAGGAAAACTCCACCACGCGCTCAGCCTCCACCCCGGCGCACGCCAGCAGCTGCTCCCGGAAGTCAGACACCTGCCGGCCGCAACGCGCAACGCAGGCACCCGGTGACCGCCGGGCGCTGGGGGGCCAGCAGCACACGAGAACGGCCCCCGACACCCCGCCCGCTCCCCTCACACGCCCAGACCCGCGTTCGAGCGCCCCGGACAGGGATCCGCAGACGTTACTGGCGGACACAGCGGGAGGGGCCGGGCATTAGGTCAAGACTTGACGACACCACGAATTAACATGCGTGTGTGGGTGACCTCACCCCTGCATCCCTCCCTCTCCCCCCATCCCGCATGCGTGCACGGGGCAGCAACCTGCCAGTGGCCAGGCGTGTCCACCTGCCTGAGCCCCCACGCCCACCGGACGTGACCCCAACCGGAAGTCCCTTCGGTGGCGCGGCAGTGACCCCTGGTGGGCGCTGCTGGGCACCTCCCGCCGGCGGCCTGGCCGGGCTGGGCCCCTCCCTCCACCTCC